GTTTCAAGACTGATTTATTAAAACTTCAATTTTATTGGAATAATACACTCTCTCTCTTCTCCAAAGGATTTGATCAATCCTGTGGATTGCTTTTTAGCTTTTTAACTAATTTGTTAAATTTTGATTTCTATTTTACATGTAGTGAAAATCTTTGAAGTAGCTAAAAGGTGTATTGGTGCGTGCAACTGTGCAAGCAGTAAAGAAGCCTCTTCACCAAGAACATTCTTTCTTTCGTCATTTGAAGGAAACACTAGTCATTCAAGCAAGGTATATTTTTTACTCTGAATTACGCATTGTTTCACTTTTAAATTTGTATAATAGATCACAATATAAATTATTATTATTATTATTATTAATCTTTAAAAAAGAATTTAATGTGCTTTCAAAAATAAAAATAACAAGGTATTACGTGATGCATTGCATGGTAATTAATAATGTTATTTAAATAATTACTTCATTGGTGCATAAGGTTTCGAATGGGTTTTTGACAAAAAAAAAAGTCTAAAGAATCTAAACTATTAATTATAATTCATTATGAATAATAAAAAAGATATAAATCAAGAAATTGCTATTTATCAAGTGGATATATAAAAAAGTTAGACCAAAAATACTAAAAATTATGTCCTTTCAATAAAATATTATGAAAAAAACTAAAATAATCTTATTCCTGCTTGAAAAATTAAAAAATTTCAATCTTTTTTTAAAATGAATTTATTATGACAATGTAGTTTTTAGATATTTTTTCAGTTAATTTTTTGCAAGTATAGTTGATAAACATTTTTTCCAATCTATAATTTGTTATAGCATATATGATATCTAGCTATGTCAATGATTTTTGTTTTCATATCTAGCTATGTCAATGATTTTTGTTTCACTATATATTTAGTTGTATCAAAATTAATGAAGGAATTTTGTTATAATTGGTTATAGGGTACATGATATAAATTAAAGAAAAATTAATGAATTCATTTTTGAACATTGATTTGTACTATTTAATTTAACACATTGCTTAACATATTTATTAAAAAATTATTATTTTTTACATAAAATTAAAAAT